GGCAGTGAGGGCTGGAGTGAGCACTGCCAGGGCTGGGGGGGCACCCTGAGGTCTGTGCCATCACAGTGGTGAGATGTGTGCCCTGTGTGCCCGAGGGCTGCACTTCCTTCTTATCTGTACCCATAGCTTAAGGAGGAGTGACCCTCTGGTTCCTGGCTGTTTATCAGAGTGTGTGTACCTGAGCCCCAAGAGGAGCACAGCAGTGGCAGCTGGCTGCCAGCCTGGCAGAGCCCCTTTGGCTGGAGCTCTGCAGCCAAGAACCTTCGCTGTCGTTGCCGAGTGCTTCACTGTCTCCTTGTGTTGGGAGAAGCAGGCCTGTTTCCAGAGTGCAGCTGGGCTTTTAGGGAGAGAGCAGAGCAGACAAGAGAAGATGAGGAGTGCAGGTTCCCTCCTGCCCTATGGCTCACTGCAGCACATTAGCTCTGTGTCATGCAGAAGTGACCATGCAGCTCCTTCTATTCGGATTAGGCTGTATTCATTTGTGGGGGAGTACAAAGACCTCCAATATGGATATTCTGGGACTTCTTTCATAGAAAACGAGGAGCTTGCTATTGAAGCACAGTCCCCTGTCCAAGTTCTGAATTTTGCAACCAAATTCTGCAGTGTTTTTTCTAATTAAATCCCCACTGAAGTAAATTTTTATTCAGTCAGGGGGTGAAGAAATAGTTCACTCTGTTTCATAGCAGCAGAAGTCCTTAATCCTGGCTTCTCAGCTGATATTAATGCCAGTCTTTCAGTTGCATTCACTACCACTTTGACTTTAATTCCTCTGAGGAATCTGTCTCTTAGATGCCTGAAGTAAAAGCCCGATCCCTATGTCAGGTGGGCTTCTGCTGTTTTGTAAGTTTGATGAGAAAAGCAGTTCTTTATAGGGAGACAAATCAAAGCTGCCTTCTTCCAGGTGTAGATGAATAGGATGGGTAGAGAAAAGTGGCTTTTTAATGCAGAGGCGTGTGTTAGCTTAAACAAACAAACAAGAAAAAGAACAACTGAATCTGGGCATGAATTATAGCCTGCTTCAGATTTCAGTGTGTCACGTTTTGAATTGAGCTGAAGTACCTACGGCTTTTTTTAAATTGCATTTGAACAAAAGTAAATACAAAGAGAAAGAAACCAGGACAGCAAAAGCCTGCAGGAAATTCCTCTACTGTAAACAAAGTCACCTTATGATTGATGTGAATGTACAGCCCCTTGTAAACATGTCTGTTTACTTGCAGGAAACCAGAAAGAACCCACATTGGGCGCTGCTGATTTTATCTAGCTTTGCCTAAATGCTTTTGGCTTCCAGTAGTCACTCTAGAGGGAGCACAGGAGTGATGGCTGCTCCCTGGAAAACTCGAGTCTACTGTACTTTTAAAATCTGTGCCACATGCTGCAGATGGGCAGAGCTTCACAGGGAAGATTGGTAACAGCTTTTGGTGGCTGTCCTGACCCTCAGCAGTGAAAGCTGATTAATAGTGGATGTGAAGCATTATTCCTTTGCAAAGGAGCTCTCATTTTCAGTGCACCTAATGAGGGAATTTTATACCTCTAAAAACATAGTAATAACCCTGATCCTACACCCTTAGGTTGCTGTAGGCGCCCACTGAAAGGTCCTTGTTCTAACAAAGACTGTCAGTGCTGCTGAGGCTGATGAGTTTTGTGGTGATGGAAAATGCTGTAATTGTGGGATGTGTTGTTTCAGTTTAAGGTTTGGTCCTTTCTGAGGGTGAAATTCTGGCTGTGCTGATGTCTGTGGGAAGCTGGTCATAACCTTTAGGGGCTGCAAGTCATGGCAAGCAAATCTGGATTTTTTCTAATGGATGTAGCAGAGGAGTGATGGGGGTTATCCATGTCTCCTGCTGAAGGTGTGACCTGTGGCTACCCTAGAGCAGCCTTGCATTACAGGGACAAAGCTAAGTGCTCAAGGCCTCTGTCCATGCATAAGGAAGTTTTCTATTCTGTTCTCTGTTCATTTCCTAACCATTTCTAACATTATAAGGGCTTTTTTTACCAAGTACAAGTACTGAGTTGATGTCTTCACTGTTCTATCCCTGGGACTTTTGCCAGTGGTAACACCTAACCCAGACATGTCAAGGGGTTTGTGGAGTTTGGGTTTCTCCACATGTGCATTACTTTCTAGTTATTGAAATGTAATTCAGTCTGGCATTTCCATACCATGACAGTCAGTTAGTTGAGATCTTGCTATACCTCATCACCCTCAGCTTCAGATTTGACAACTTTGAATGATTTGGGAATCGATTGCAAACGTCATTTTCCTAATCACCCCTTTTCCACGTTGTTATGGATGAGTTGCACAGGATGGATGCCAGGACAGGTCTTTGGAACAGCATCTTAGCAGCCCTGTCCTGCTGTAAAAAATTACTTTCTTTTCTTTTAACCAGTTACTAATCTGCAAGAGGTTGTTCCTTCTTACACCATGACATCATTATGAATCTTTGGTAAGGGACCTTCTTAAGAGTTTTTCTTTTAAAAACCCTATATTTAAACACTGTCAGCTAGATCATTCTTCCCCATTCTTAGCCATACACACGGTGAATCTCTCAGAGAGCTCGAAGGGATCAGTGGTACCATTATCACATATTTACAATTAAGTCTGTTCCTCAGCATAATTTCTGCTAATTTCTTCAGAACAAAAGCAAAGTGTACATACTCAGATTCCAGGATCACCCATAATTATGTGTTTTAGTGAGCAGACATATATGATGCTCAAAAATTTAGTCCTACCTCTTGATTAAATATGACATTTACTCATTCTTTGTGAAGACAGGCAGTCTCCCCCTATGATTATGTTTTCTATTTTTGTACTTCTTGAGGGTCTCTGAGCAAGTTCTAATCAGAGTTGCCATCCTGGTGGGACAGCTGAGAGAACAGTCCTGATGGTTCCTATGCAGAAGTAGTAACGTTTATGGACTGAGACTAGAGAAAAACAATGTTGGCTTCAAAGTTACAGCTTCATAAGGAAAGTCCAAAGCCTGAATATTGGCTCTGACACCTCTGCCAGGCACAGCACCCACAACAGCCACCTCTGGCTCCCTTCAGGGTAATGCCAGGTGGGAAATCTTTGCACTGCTGGAGCCAGCGAGGCCAGTAAGAGTAATGAGCTGAAAGTAAAAGGGGAATTTGGGCTAAATACAGGGAAAATTATGCATGTCACAGTTAATATAGACAGACAGACATAACAGCCGAATAAATACTAGTCTAGAGGCTGGTGGAGATTTCCCTGCCTAGGAGGGAACTGAAGTCAGGATGTGTAGGTGCAGGTGAGTGCAGTGGGTGTGAGGCCAGCCCCCAGAGCAGCAGCACTGTGGCAGTGCTGTTCCAGAGGCAGGATGCTCAGCTGGCTGGAATTGTGCCATTTTCTGACTGCAGGCACTGCTGATCAACCTTCACATCCTCAGTCGTGAGCTCTCTTGGTTTGGTAAGGCAGAGAGGACAGAACAGGAGAATTTATGCCAGACTGAGAACAAACACTGCCTGATGTGGGTGGTTTTATACCTTGGAGGCCAATCCCTCAACTTTCTGACTTGTTTGCCCCCTTCTTTGTTTCTGATGGGAAAACAACCCCGAAGGATGTAAATCACGATGCAAGTCTCTCCACCCCACGTAAAAGTGAGGAACTGGAGCAGAAGGGGCTGGCCACATGCAAGCAAGGAGAGATGGCAGAATGCATTTCTTCCTAATAAATTTGACACAGAGGCTGGGAGCATGTTTATAAAACCCTAGCTGAGAGTAGAGGAGGGTTTGTATCTTTGTTTTTTTAAAGTGCAAAATCAGGGCTGGTTTATCGGGCCTGTGGGATTGGACAGCGTGTAGAAGGCCACCCATCTGGAAACCAGCTGATTGCTGCTGAAACTTTCTTCCCAGGCTCCATCCCTCCTCTGACAGGGTGCTGGGGTTTTATGAGAGGCTGACAGCAAGCCTTTTACAGACCGTGACTCCTTGTCTCAACAAAAATTGCTACAAATTAGCTGGAGAAGGGACCTGAGGGGATTGTCCCAATCTGGCTCAGGGTCCCAAGTACAAAGTCAGCAATTTTAACAGAATAATCTGAGTTTTCGAATCAATTGTGTCTGGAAACGACTTTATGGGAAATGGGTGAGTGGAAGGTAGGAGACAAGGGAGCAAGAGGAGGTTATTTCTAGATGGTCAAAGTGTAGATCATGTAAGTCTGTTGTCCAAAGACTTTTCAGGTTTTATAAAGAAAATCAGCTAGTCTTTGGTTTCCCAGGAATTCTTATTTCCTTCGAGCTGAAAGCAGCTTCTGTATAGAACTGGGACTTGTGCTCTGAGCCTGGGTATCCAAAATTTTATAAGCATTCAGAAAGCGAGCTTGCATTTGGCCCTCACTGGGGATCCCATTTTCACAATAGCCTAAAACTAGTGCATCCTGGAACACTCCATTCCCCTTTGAAAGACGTGACAAAAAACCCCCTTTTTTATCCAAATAACCCATCTGATCTGAGGCTTGTATCCCAGAGTGGTTCCACAGTAAAAAGAGATGTATAGGGTGGAAAGAGATTATCTTGAATTATACAGCTGAGCACTGCGTCTGGTCCTGTCAGCTCTGCGTGGAGTGTGGGATCACTGGGGTGATGCTGCACCACAGAAAGAGACTGAGAAAGCTTTTCAAAATAAGGAAGTTAAGTACAAGCTAAAACTTTAATAAGTACTAAAAAGCTTTGTTCAGGAAATTAAGTATTTTGGCACACCATAGACAAGTAGTTACCTTATTAAATCCCCAAGCAGTGTTTCCAGGTAAATAGACTGAATACTTTCTGATTACAGCTATTTATGCCTACATTTGTTTTGGAACTTTTGAAAATATCCATGAAATAGAAGGAAAAAAATGCCATTAAAAAGGATCAGAGAGCAATTTGCTTGGGTTGACCATGACAATTGTCAGAGCAAACTTTTGCAGTACTTTCACTCTTTATGGTAAAAACTGCTTGGCTGTTCTGTTGCACACAAGTCTCATGATGTTGATTTTTGCTTTCCAGAGTGACTGAGCCAAGCAGTTGTGGAAGAGGATGGAAACCCCTTGGACTTCCCATCTTGGAGAGAGGAGGACATCTCTGAGAAATCAGGGAGAACTGCAAGGGGCCCTTCTAAGCTGAAGGACGAGAGGAGAGGAGCACTGGACACCTCGCCTGGGTGTTCTCAGCAGCTGGGGCCATGTCCTGTTTGGAGGAGAGAGCCGGCCAGCGAAGGGCTGTGAGCAGCAGCACCCCTGGGGACCCCTCCTGGCCAGAAAACGGCACCAGGTAGGCTGGAGAGGGTTCTGGGTGGGTCCTGTGACCTGGGAGGTGCTCTGTGGGCTCTGGAGCTCTCTCAGCCCTTTGCCATTATCCTGGTCTGACCTTGATGTGGTTATGGGTTGATGCATTACCACACCAGTGAGGGCCCTGCTGTTGTTGGTGTGGTTATGGGGTGCCAGGGCCCTGCTGTTGTTGGTGTGGTTATGGGGTGCCAGGGCCCTGCTCTCATTGGTGTGGTTATGGGGTGCCAGGGCCCTGCTCTCATTGGTGTGGTTATGGGGTGCCAGGGCCCTGCTCTCGTTGGTGTGGTTATGGGGTGCCAGGGCCTGGCTCTCGGGAGCTGTGGCCTTTGGCATTGGGCTGTGCCAGGCTGGGCCTTGGCATGGGGCAATAGTGATGAGGGCGTGCTGTGGTTTACAGATGCTGCTTTCCCTGGTCACAGTTATGTCTGTTCTGCCTTTAGCCAGAATGTGTTTCACTTGTGGATCCAAACGCTGCTTGAACTGCAATAATTAATGATCACACTTAGATCAAGTCTGGCTTACACAGGGATGTTGACAGGCCCATGCCCCAGGTAGGGCATAAAGCAGCAGGGCAATATCTCCAGTTGGTGCTGCCCTCACGTGACCCTCGGGGTGGGAGTGGGGTGTTGCCTTGTGTGTGTGAGTGCCCAGGGCTGTGGGACTCTGCGTTCTCTGCCCCGAGGGACAGCTGGGAAAGGCACCCAGAGCAGCTCAGTGCAGAGGTTTGGATGTGCAGAAATTGAGGCAGTTTGAATTTGGAATAAATTTCTGAAGCTATTTGCAGGAACACTTGGAGGCTCTCAGAAATGTAAGAGAAAATACACACTTGCAGTGTGTGAAATGTCTTGGCAGAAAGCTTAGCACAAAATAAACCAAAACTTTCACCGACTTCCACCAGCTGGAGCTGTTACTGTAGCTGCCAGCCTGTCTTGGTTCAAAATTGCCTACTGCTGGTTGATCTGCAGCACTGTTGGGGTTGAAAGACACAGTCAAAGGGAGTTCTTTAAGTTCTCAAAATGTATTATGTGTGAAAACATTCAAATATACACTTAATTTAAAACAAAACTGTCGAGAATCAGGGTTTTTTGCTGTTTGCAGACATGCCAAGAACTCTGCTCTCTCCTGCAATAGCTAATTCTATAACTTAGTCTGACTGGGGCTGTTCCAGCTCCTGTTAAACACAGTGGAAAACTGCTGGTGGAAGGTGGATTGGGCTCATCTGGTGCCCTGTTGAAATTCGTGGTGATACACCAAAACAGAGCACAGATAAGAGCCTCAGACTGCAGAGTGGCTGGGGCAGGGACTCTCTGTTTGTGTGCATTGTGTAGTGTTGAACACATTTGTCGACACTTCAGCAATAATGAATAATGCCAGTGTGAGGAGGAAATCTCTCCACTCAACCCTAGGTGTTTCTGCTGGTAAGTGTTGAAAGAGAAACACAGAGCCCTGAACTTTGAAGACTTGGCAGGTGAGAAGAAGGAAAAATCTTTTCACTTTCCATTTAAATTTAGGCTTAATCTGCATTTGTTGGGTCTGGTAGAAATATTTGAGCTTTTAATTTAATGTTGTTGATTTTGGGAAAACTTCTTGGGATGCATGGCATGAAAACACCTTGGTTATGAGGCAAGGTTTTGATTTAATTTCTCCTTTCATCTGTTTTCCATTACAAACCAGACTAATTGCAGAAAGATTCTCTGTGGCAAAAAATACTAGGGGAAGTGTGAATTTGGAAGTTTTCTCACTTTACAGTAACTATAAAAACAGTCAGCAAACAGGTTTTAAAATGATTTAGTATGGGAGGGAGCAAAGTCTGGTTGTCTTCATAGCAGCAGGATTTCACTGGCACTATCACGTTTTCAAAGCTCTCAATTCAGCCTGTTCATATTTATAGCAAAGCTTCCTTGCACACACGAGTCATATTTATTCCTATTTTAGAGACCTGTAATACTGAAGCACAGGCTGCTGTTGTGCCCCTGGTGTTGAGGTGCCCCCGTGTCTGTTCTGGCTGATAGATGGGTGTGCTCGTGACAGAAAACTGCTCCTTTCAAACCAAAGGAGGGGGCAGCTTTAAGCAGTGCTTGGGGAGCAGGACTGAAGGGACCCTTGCCTTGGTTACACTTTCCTTCGGGTACAGACTTGTCACAATTTTTATTTTATTTCAGACAGTGTCTTAGGGGGCAGTGCCAGGATTTTAAACTGCCACAATATGAACCTGGCATTAAATGTCTGCCCCACAAAAAATAACATTGGGTTTGTATTTGTGCTTTATTTTGTTTTTTGTTAGAGAAATATTTGAATTCACGTTTGCATTGAGAAAGATAAACTAAAAATCAAGAAACCTCTTAAGAACACCATATGTTGTTGTGATTTATCCTATGATAGATTTGTAGAGAAAGTTTTGTAGCACTGAGACAAGTTATCATTACACATTAATTGGTGTATGAGCATAAGAAATTGGTGTATGGCTTGAAGTGTGTCACAGTGTGTGGGTGCATTTGGAGGGGTGAGCTGGGCTGTGGTCCTGCTCCTTCCTTCAGGCTTAGCAGAAGGGAAAGGCCCTGATGACTGTGACCTGTGAGACACAGCTGTGGGACAGCTCAGCTTTCTCTTCAGAAAGCTCAGGTCTGCCTAGCTTAGCTTTCTGTTTTGCAAGATCCATCTGCATCGTTTCTTAACACCCAGGACCTTCAGTGTAAAAAGAACAGAGCAAAAAATGTATTAAAAGCAATAAAAGAACCGAGCTCCCTTATCTCCATGAGAAATATGGATTCTTCGCATTTTTAATGCATACAAGTCTCTTTTTGGGAACTGCCCTGTGGACACTGTGCTTATCAGCTCACGATACACTATTGTTCTGTACGTGTTGACATCACTTGTGTAGCTGTTGAGAGAAGCAGGAAGGAAGCTGAAATGCCCAGTGACTTTCCAAGTCCTTATCATCATGTGGAAGAGGGACAGTTGTCACATGAACAGTGACAGAATTGACAGGACTGGATCTGATGGTTTGGTACTTCTGTAGCGCCAAGTAAACAGCAAACAAGCAGTTAAACAGAGATGAGGAGAAAAGAGCTGTCACCTTTCCTGTGTTCAAGTTGACTTGGGAATCCAGGCTCCCAATGGATGCTGCTAATTCTTTTTAAAAAAATCCTTCTTGCATTGCCTGTATGGAAACATACTCTTCTGCAGTCTCTGTGTTTGTGTGGCTGGTTGGGCCTAATATTTACATGTTAAAAACCCTCACTGATCCTTATGTAGTGGAAAATTGTGTCTGAAATGTGCCACAAAAACCTCTCCAGGTGATGTATCAAGCTGTCATTAGGAGGAGATTCTGCACCCTTGGCCCTGCTTCTTGTATGGCTTGGACTTAAGCTGTGCCAGAAGAATGGCATTCTTTTTTGGTAGTATTTCCTATATCCTGCAGGCTGGAGCTTCTCCTTTTTCTGGATGTTTCTGGATGTTCTGGATGTCTTTCTTCCCCCAAAGAGCCACTCCTCACGCAGTAGAGGACAGTGCTGATCTGGCAGTGAGCTACCTCAGCTGGTGGAGTAAGTCCTTCTTGTAGTGGATCTGTGATGCTGCTGTACTGGAATGTGTGGAAGGAGCCAAAAAACAGTTATGGGAGAGTAGAATTGCAGTGTTTGTTCTGGAGACAGGCAGAAGGAAAAAATACATACAAAGCGATCTCTGTAGACGTGTATATGACGAAGCAGAATACTTCTCAGGCACATGACACATTTGATTACATTAAAAATCCCTTTGTTCTCTTTTCTTCCCTTGCTTTTTATGTTGGGTGGTGTTCCTGCTCTTGGGATGAAGGATGGGATGGGATGTAGGATCTTCAAGCCTTCCTCAGACCTGAGCAGGCTGATCAGCTGCTTTTTCATTTGCTTCTAGGACAGCAAAATTCCAAAAAAATTACTATTTTTTTTCTGTATGATTTATAGGATTGTCTTTGAGACAGGGATCTGATATTGCCACCTTTGCTTTTTTCGCTCTCCAGGGTCCTCTTGCCTTGATTATAAGAGCTAAGTTGTGCATTTCACTGGCAGACCTTCATCCTCAGCCCTTCAGTGCCCGTCCAGATCAGGGAAGTACCAGGTCCCATCCCAGTGCTCTTCGGGCCTCCCTGAGAGCTGGTGTTCCTGGTTTGGAGCTGCCCTGCTGGTTGCAGGGCCGGCACAGAGGAGCTTTGTTCCCTGACTCTCTCCCCGCCCTGTGCCCTCCTCTGGGGCTCCATCTGTGGCACATCTGCGTGTTCCCACCCTCCTGGGGAGCACTGCTGGTGGTGAGGAGGATTTGGCAGTGGGGTGTTTTGTGGTTACATTATCGCTTCCTCCTGGGATTTCCCGTGCTCTGGCACACAGGGTGTTTAGTGGCATCCTCGGTTACCTCCACAGTGACTAATTTGCTGAGACTGCACAGGCTGTTGGTATCCTCTGGTGAGGACTGGTTGCAGACCTTAGTGCAGGCTCCTGACACACAGCCCTCCTTCCCCACAGAGCCAGTGTGTGGGGCCAGGCATCCCAGTGCCCTTCACAGACATCTCCAGAGCGGGCTGGAGCACAGGACTGCCCTGTGCAGGAGTGGCTGGGATCTCCCCTGGCAGTGCAGGGGCACAGCCTGGCTCCCTGCCCCGGACTCTGCTCTTACAGCCCCTGGTGCCAACGGGCACGGCCAAGGGCCGCTCTCGGAGCAGCCGAGAGCACGCCCCCCCTCAGCAGCCCAGCCGGGCTCCTTCCTGTCCTGCTGGCAGATTGATAAGGAGGGACTTTCTTCCTCCACACCAAGTGCTGCTCTGATTTACTGCAGCTCTTCCTTGAGCGCTTCCGGAGGTCAGAGGGCTGCAGACATTAGCCCGTGATGGCAGACCCGGGGTCATGGGTAACCAATACGAGTGCCCTGGGTGCCGTGCAGCGCGGCTGGGAGTAAATAAACCTGTCCCCTGGCTGCCTTTGTAGCACCTCTCCCTAATGTGAC